AAGTTATAAATGAAACAATACCATTCAACCCGTTTAGAATTGCAAGGTGTCTTAATTTCAGGTGTGAGGAAGTTGTTACTTTACAATAACTTTGCATTAGTTTCTTCCTTATTCTTTTATTACTGTAGAATGCTTTTCTCTCTCAAGTGCCAGGAATACATATACAGTATAATACAAAACTTGGGATGTAATATATCTAACTGCAATGTAGTCCTCATCCTGTTCAGTTTAACTGTTTTAGCATGATTAGCTGTCTCTGGTAGCATTGCATGAGCACAAAAGTCTCTTTTCCATGGCATTTTTATAGTGACCCAAGACCCACCATCTGTGGAAATAATGAAAAAGATGTTTGTTACACCAACATGACCAATGCACTAGTTTCATCAATAACAAAATAATAAATTGCATGAAATACAATACTGCAGAAAGCAGACATTTCTGTACATCCCAGAAATAGCTAAAGTCTGGATTTAAATTTGAATTGTAGTGACTTACAGTATTGTTAATAGATTTTTTGTTGATGGGTAATAGAATTGGGTGTCATTTGCATAAAGAAAAAATGTTCAAGTCATAGAACAATTAAAACCCTGAAAACTGTAATTATTTTCTGACATAACTACAGTGATTTTTACTTAATTTTGTGACAAAGAGGAGACTCATTTCGCATATTGGCTGGGTTCCTTTAGCTATGAAAACAACCAGCATACATACTCTTATTAACAAGAAACACCTGCACACCCTACACACCTCTGTGATAAAGGATAGCATGTAAATTTTATAGTTTGAGACTATAAGGAAATATTCTTTCCAATATTTTTGTTCAAGTGATGTCTGCAATTCGTGTACTCCAATTAAATTGTAATAGAGAATTTAGTAGAAGATTAATACAGTAAGTTGATAGTGTAGATTGAATAGCTGAAATTCAGTCTTCGCAAAACACAAATAACAAAACAACACGTGTATTAACTTTATTTATTACACTCCTTTACATTCTACAGCAGGGGTGCCCAACCAGTCGATCACGATCGACCAGTTGATCTTGGCGTGCTTGCCAGTCGATTGCAAAAGTAAATGGGCTATTTGACTACTTTTTTCGATAGTTTAAAATCTGTACATGTAATGTCATACATTTTACTGCCCTCGTGTGTGTTTATCCCTTGTTTAATGGGTTGTAAAAGTCTCTTCCCTGAGTGCTAGTTGACACTGGGAAAAAAAGGCTACAAGAGCTCCGTAAATAGAGTTGCGTGTGCTACTCAAGAACGTTCTCTTAATTATTGCTGCGCGAACCTACATTCACTATAGTGCATAGTGGAGCGAAGCAGACTGGCCGTGACAAATTCGCCAACAGTTTGATAAGTTTGATTGCCTGTTTGATAGTTGTAGTGTTTGAGTGAAAAAAGTTGTAGTGTTTGAGTGAAAATGATGAAGCAAAGAGACCAAAAAACTTACCAGAATCGGGATTATTTTTTTGTACTTTCGCATTCAAATCTGAAATGCTAGCATCTATGCGGAAAAGGGAAATATAGAACAACATTCCAAAACTGCACACAAAACGTATGATGTGGAGTTTCCCGATAAAAATAAGTTACGGAAAAGAAAAGTGGAAAAATTAAAATCTCAACTAGCAGCAGTCAGTTTTCACAAGGCCTAATACAAGAGGGAAAGCGGCAGTTGTTCCATGTGAACCATGTCCTGGCTAAACACAAAAAGTCATTTAGGGAATCGAGAAGTAATAAAAGAGTTTGTTGAGACTGCTGACTTGCTGTTTGGAGATTTCAAAAACAAAAATTTTGGTAGGTTCAGACAGCTGTTGCCTGAAATCAAAGAGTTTGATTCACATGGTGAATATGCCCAATTAGAGGATGACAGTGGCTTCTGGATTTAGCATTCCTCACAGACTTGACTGAACTGCTGTATGAGCTGAATGTGGAGCTGCAGGGACACAATAAAAAAGTCATCGACATGATCAGCAGTGTCAACATGTTACAAAAAAAAAATACAAGTGTTCTCAAGTAAGCTTCTCAGTGCCAATGCTCACACTAAGGTAGAATGTTCTTTTTTCTAAAATGGGGAACATGACTGGTTCACTGTAGCATGAGTCACTTGCTTTTATTTGCTGTCATTTTAGTGAAGGGTATCGTTATTGTACTGATGTGCCCACAGTCTGTTTTTCCTATAGAGCTTTAAATTTACACTGGTAGATCGAGCTGGACTGGTAAATGAAAAAGTAGATCTTACATTAAAAAATGTTGGACACCACTGTTCTACAGTATATATAGAATCACTATGTTGTCTCTGCATTTCATAAGATCTTTTGAGTACAATGCCTATATCAATGAAAACATACTACCCCATGAGTAGGCCAAATTATGTTTAGATTACTCACAGAACAACATTAGGTTTGATGTAATCTTTGATGTAGAATACTGTATATTGAATTCAAAGGTTGCCCTGAAACAGTTAACTATACGTATTTTGTAAGTTGTAAGACAACAAAAAAATGTCGCTCTTATCCTTTATTAATCATTTTAATTAAATTTTCAGGCAGAAACAAAGCATTTATTGTAATACTTTTATATAAACTATTTGAAACTTGTTTTATATCATTTTAAATTGGGAACACAAGCTGGTAAGGACAGAACACACAAAAAGAAATGTGGAGGTTGGCTTGCCAGAAAGTTGCACAAACAGTGCAATCCAACATAGATTTTGATTTTAATGTAAAGTTAAGTGAATCAAATGTATTTTTAGATTGGTTCATTTGAGAAAATGATGGAACAGAAAGCCATCAGAAGTACTTAAAGTGAAATGTCTGCAGGCTACTATAAAATATGAAGAATGCAAAGTTGAACTTTTGGGGTAATGTTTGAAATTTAAATAATAATAATTATTATAATTGCTTACACGTATATAGCGCTTTTCTGGACACTCCACTCAAAGTGTTTTACAGGTAATGGGGACTCCCCTCCACCACCACCAATGCGCAGCATCCATCAGGATGATGCGCTGGCAGCTATAGTGCACCAGAGCGCTCAACATACATCAACTATCAGTGGGGAGGAGAGCAGAGTAATGAAGCTAATTCATAGAGGAATGTTGCTATTTAACCAGATTGAGATCCCAGATACATATAAACAGCAGTGCTAGTGTGAATAATTATTTGAGAGTGGGTGGCATAATACAGTATATCTGTTTAAAAAATGTAATGTGGAAGAAACATATATCTAAAAGTACTGTCAATACCTAATAAATAAAAATATGAGCTTTTTCTTTGAATCATTCATAATCAAACTAAAAGATTATAGTTTAGACAGAAATGTAAAGATGCCATAATATTTAAAAAAACTGCGTGCTGTCCTTTTGATATCCATTGGTTTATCCTCGATCAGTGCATCCTGGCATGTGTAAGGTGATCACACTGCTCACGTACTGTATTTATACTGCTTGATCACAATGATTTACTGTAGGGATGTCTGCCAAGAATCTGTTAAGTGCTGCAGGTTTGCTTTGCATTATTCAAATGCATGCACTGCATACACAGCCAGCAAGTTTTGTTAAATATTGAATGTGACATGTTATGGGCTGTGTATTGCCAGGCACGTGGTTCATAAAGGGTTTGTAAAGTGCACTGCTTCTCTGATAATTTTTTATTTGTGTGTTCTGTTGTTTTGCCCATCTACTGTGGCAGATTTATCCATGCTGAGCTTCAGTGAAAGAACAGCTTAAGGCTATTCTGAAAAAAGAAACAAGCCCACCATGAGTACTGGAAAGCACATTCACCTTCTGCCGTTTTACGTGCTGCAATTTACCATTTGCCACTGCAGATTCCAGTACAAACCCAAAGTTGGCCACAAAGTTTACTCATATGTAATGTATTTTAAAATATGTTCTGCATGGTTTCCAAACTTGTGTGGAATGGAATGTGTAGTCTGTTCTACACAGTGATTTCAAAAGCTTAATTTTAAAACTTGTTAGCAATACCATGGCAAGTCCATGAATAATGTATCCATAATAACTGTCATTTACGTTCATTAGTTATTACTTATTGGTTGTTATTTATCAGTTTATATTGTGATTTAATTTCTGAAGCCTTTTACATGTTGTCTAAAGTAATTATTTCTATCTTTGTAGTCAGGTTGCTGGGTGCAGCTTCATTGTGAAGTACTGAAGTTACATACTGTACTTATTACATGAAAGCTTTTGAAACCATTGTTCATATACTGAGAAGCATTAAAAACAGTTGGTTTTGGTTTCAATACCAATACATCAAAATTTGATGTGTTTTCAAAGCCTTTCAGTATATATCCGAAACTAGTATTTTGGTATTTTTCTGTCAATCATATGCCAAATATTTGAGTCTTTCACCTTCTAGTTTAAAATATGTTTTTTTTTTTTAGCCCTCCTTTAAAACATTATTACAAAAATGCTATTTTGATTATGCATTAAATCTCTCTATAACCCTTGGATGTGAATCCATCCATTTTCAATAATTGCTTTACCCAGTAAAGAATCCACATGCCCATGGGGAGAACATGCAGACTTCACACAGAAAGGTCCCCATGTTTTAACAGACCCAAGAGCACAGAGGCAGCAGCACTGCCTACATGCCACCTTGCTGCCCCTTAGGATATAAAAAATCTGTAAACTGGTTTCTGGCCTTATGAAGGTTTTTCAGTATATAAAGACTTGAGAATGCCTGAAAACATGCCAGTTTTCTGCCAGTTACAGCATATCTTGTCACACGATTTCCACTGAAAGTGTGTTCAAGGACCCACTTTGTGTTAGCAATAATACTTGTTATGAATAATGGATTTTTAAGTCAGAAGAGAATTTACACTCTCCTGTTCAAATTAATTCTGAAAATGTCAAAATATTGGCTGCAATATGGAATCACTGAGCTTAGGCTGCATATCCGTGTGATTAAGCAATGAGAACAAGGAAAGTAATTGGCCATTTTATTCTTTACTAACAAATTGCTTTTTCTCCTTTCCTTCTCTTAGGTATTCTGTCTATCCATATTCCGTTTTGGCACGCATCGGCATCAACCATCCAAAGCCAATGCCTTTCTTTGGCAACATGTTTCTTTTTCGTGAGGTAAGGATTTTTCCATATTTTGTTGCTACTGCAACTGTCACTCAGGGGAGTACCTCTGAGTATGGAAGGTAATTACCTTTTTGGGAGCTCCCAGTTGAGAAGGGTGAGCTAATGTTTAATGTCCTTTGCTTCATAAGTATAAGGTAAAATTACAGATAACCTCCCTAATTTTCAATGAATGTTTTGATAAGTACTACGTTGTGTTTTGATTAACCCAAAAGACTACAACACAAAAGTTTTAGTCTAACAATACAATTCTACATGAGAAAATCAATGTTCTATCTCACAGTAAAAATTGGTTGCATAGAGTATTTGTGTACGATAAGTATAATAAATATCAGCATTACAGTGATTAGCATTTGTAATTGTATGACTTATTGAATAATAAAAATAAAACATATTTTGTTCAAATATGTGAATATGGAATTTAACATTGAAATAGTTGAATCATATACATCAACAGCACATATTATGGAGCATCAGTCGAACCAGTTAGAACCTGATGATTAGCCCAGTTTTCATCATAATGGTAACGTTTCATTTACTGTAGATTTAGCCATAAAACATGCTTTTCTAAAATAAGGATCTTCAAGAATATTCATTGATATTAGAATTTTCCAAATTTGTTTTAATGTGTTCTCATCTAATGCATGTGTTAACAAAACCATAAATGCAATTACTAGCTCTGTCTCCTTTAAGGTCCTGACCTTAATATTGTTATTAATGTTAATTGGGAAAACGAACCTCAGAGACAGCAGGTTACATGCACTGAACTTCTAGATGTAAATTGTATATATTATATAATTTGTTTCTCAGACAAATGTTCTGTTTCCTGTCAGTGTTGTGGTTTCAAAATATATGTAGTAGGAGTAGCTCCTTTGCAAAGTTAAGGTGAATCCTTAGCAGTGGTAAGAATAAGTAATTATGGCATCATAATCATTTATATTTTTTTTTGTACAATCTGGCTGCAGTTGTCTTGGGTTCTCTGAAGAAGTCGATTGCTTTGTTAATTTATAGAAATCATTTTTCCAGAACACATACCAGTTTCAGTTCAGATTTCTGAAAGAACTGCATATTAAAAACTGTTTGATATTATTTCAAACTGGATGGTTAAAAACCCTGCTAAAGTTGGTTAAATTAATAAAATTGGTTGTTGACAATAGTGGAAATTTAAAACTAAGAAAATCATTATGTGAAGGAGTAGTTTCCAAATCTCTGGCCTCATCAAGTGATTCTGCTTCAGATAGTAAAAGGATTAGCTCTTAGGTTACCCCAGCAAATGCAAGTGTCACTGGGAAACATTTGGGAAGTCTGTGATCATCATGCACATAACTGTAGGATGCTACAGACTGCACCAAATTAAAGCTGTGGATCTGTTCCTGTATTATCCCACCTGGGGAAGCTGTAGATTTGAGTTGTAAAACCTTTCATAGCATCCACACCCCTCCCCTTCCTGGGTCAGACAAAACAGACAAGTTTGATGACATTGCTGCTATAAATGATATACAGGATCAAAACTTTGGTCTTTAAAGCATCAAAACTTGCATGAAGTCATCTTGGATATGTTGGAGGCACATAATTCAAGCTGTGTTTGTTATTATTTGTAGTAATTTTAATAATTTTAAGTTTTATCAATCATAAATGTTTTAATGATCAGATGCACACAAATCATTGTAGAAAGTAAAAGCAGAAAAGGCATTTTTGTTTTTTTTTTAGATATGAAGGACATATGGCCTGTAATAAAAGTGTAGAGAACAGACACAATGAGGATAAATAGGACTGCAGAAACTTGTAATTTAAAAACCCATCAAAAGGAAAGATTCAACATCATTAATCACCTTTGAGTCCTCAAGGAGAATGAAAGGTGACATTAGAGTTGATTGATGTGATATAGCACTATACCCAAAAATGTAAAAGTATTTAACCTTCATGGTCTTTTATGTCACTAGGACTTAGCACTGTGGCTCAGTATGGTGGTGAAATGAATGCGTAAATCAGTTAAAGTCTCCTCAGGCGACTGAGATATTGCTTACACTGCTTGTGCTGCAGTTCATTAGATCTATTCATTAAAGAAGACATACAAGTAATGACTTTTAATATAATGTGATTCCTAAATAGATTACATATATTGAAAATTGCTTGATTTTTTATGAAGATTATGTGAAAGAGAAGAGGATGTGGTCCATAATTACTAAATAAATGGTGTATGTCTCTGGATTAAATTTGTTACCAAGGGGGGGTAACAGGATCTTAAATTTCAAATGGCAGAACATTCTGCTCTTCCTTTGGGTCTGGTTTATCTCTGTCTAAGTCCAGAACACAGAGAGTATTGCCAGTATTCGTAGAATTAAATTATCCAGTTTTTCCACATTTCCACACCAATTGTACAAAACCTAAAAATCTGAACATGCATCAAAACTCATTTTATGACTACCAAGGCAAAGTGACTGATAATATTGTATGTTTCTTCTTTTATTACTTGGTCTTGTGAAATGTAAATATTTTGGAATATTAATAAAATGTAGTAATATAAATAACAATTTTGTCAGTAAATAGGTCATCATCTGAAGTTTTCCCACCTGTAATATCCTCCTCTTTTTAAAAATGCAGATACCCCTTTTTAGTCATTATTGTATCTTATTTCATGTAGAAATGTCTGTGGTTCTTAAAACCTTTACATGAATAAATAAATAGGCAATTCTAGTAGATTAATATGTAGAAAATAATAGTTTTGGTTAAGCTTGGTTATTAGTGTTGTATACTATCCCAAAACAGCATGGCAACTGGGGAAGACACAGATGTAAAGCAAACCAAAGACATAATATTTTGTCTTAGTTTCCATATGCATCCATTGATCTATTATTAGAAAGCTGCTTATTCCTGTTAAGGGTTGTGATAGATCAGGACCTAATCCAGAAGCATAAGACAGGGCACATGCACATATTCATAAGCTAAGTAGACCTAAATAGACAATGTTCAAACATTTTCTGACCCATGCTTTCATTCTTTAGATGATCATCCTGTAACTTCAGTAACAGATTAAGCTTGCCCTGTAGCATTTTAAAACATTCACTTCTCAGATTTTAACAATACCTCTTTGTAGAACCTTCCCATCTCCTTCAGATGATGTGGTTTGTGCTTGTGAAATGCTGTCTATATTTCTTATCACACTTGTATTATAGGATTGAGGACAGGTATTACTGAAAAGTCTATCTGTAACCAAGCTTGAATTTTTTAGCACAGGGATCCTGTTTTTTTCCTAAAATATTCCTGATAAATTTTAGAATTGGTCTATCATTTAATTCTAACTTTGGAACAAGGACCAGAGCAAGACAACTCCAAAGCAAAGCAAATCCGTCTCCACACATTTCACAAAGGGGGCAACATTCTTTTTCAACACAAGCTTTGCCTTTCTGTCAGTTTGTGTTCCTCTAGCTACAACATTTTGTCCAATTTGATTGGGAAGTCAATAAGTTGCTGTGGGGGAATTTTTAGTTTTTTTTTTTGTTGACATAGCACTCTGCTGGAAACACTGTTTTCATGATGTCAATCTGTGGTGGTAGTTTCAGAGACTGATATCCTGTTTACAAATTGTTGTAATTTGTTGTGAATTGTTATGACAAACCATTTCCTTATCACACATTTGGTAAAAACTTTCTAACATCCTCTTCCTTGTAGGTTGATAACATTCCCATTAGACTTGAAATTTCTGATAATGGACCCCACAGCCCCACTACTTTTGCAGAGACCATATAAAGAGTGTGACAAAGTAACCATATAAGATTTTACAGTGCTGTTTTCCTTGGCTCTTTAACACTCTTCTATAATAAAGCTTTGATTTTTTTTCAGGTTTGAGTTCCACTGGTGACAAATTCTTCTCTAATGCTTGTGTAGCATTGATATACTACTAGACCTCATTTCGTTGCTTTTACCCTTACAAAGGCAGATTAGCCTACATACAGTAGATACAGTAGAATGGCAAACAAAATTCAGAAAAAGAAAAACAACTAGCGACAGGTGACACAAATGACTGTTTAAGGAATGAATCATTCAGATCCAAAAAGTTAGTGTCAGCAGTAACTCCAATTCACTGAAAATCCTCTGACTTTTTATTTTATCTTAGAAGCAGGGGAAAGGAGCCCCTGTGTCTGGGAATGTTCCACAAAAGTGTTCTGTTCAAAGTTCTAGTTTTCTAACTATTAAAATACTTGCTTATGAAAAATATGAAATTTATTTCCCTGAAATTTCTAAGGGCACCTCTGCAGGACATACTCTGTAGTTGCTATTGCTTAGTTACAGTAAATACAATCTAGGACAACAACAACAACGAGTGGAAAAAAAAATTAAAACAACATAACAATAAAAACTCTGCTGCGGTTAAAAATACACTTTGCAACCACTAAACCCATTTTACTTTATTCAAAACTATTTTAATACATTCTGTTTGAATCTTAAATGAGATTAGTTAGTTTATCTTAATTTAATCATGTGTGTGTGCCACTATGAGTACAAAACAGTTATCATTGGTGGAATTTGTAAACTTCGAACAGTTCAGAAGCTCAGGCATCCATTCCAGTTTTTAAGGTTGCTGTGTAAAAAGAGTGCCCTAATCTGCTCCTTCCCAGCTGAAAGAAAAAGCCAAACAAGAAGGAGGATTTCACTTAAACGAGTCACTACTGTGTATTTTACTGAGAGAGTCACAGCGTTGTGGAATGCCACTGCCAGCTATCACAAGGGGGGCAAGGGGGAAGGGGGCACTGTGCCAGGGGAGCCTGGGGCTTAATTAACTATAAGGCAGGCACGCTGCAGGCTGCACTGCTGCCTTGCATATCAACGACTGGAGTTATTTCTGAGCACCTTAGCTGGACAAGATCTTCTTTGTGCCCTCAGTTTCAGGTTGGCTCACATTTGGCAGAGAATCTTTCTGCTCCTAAGTATCACTCTTCTTTCATCCAGGCGGAGTTATGTAGAGTTCCTTTTCTCCCTGCTGGGCTCAGTGG